CGAACTGATGATCGGGAGAAAAAAACACCAAAAGTCGTATAAAATATCTTCAATTTGCCAGTCGTTTTGAGTAAAACCTCGTTTGAAAGCAGTGTGAATAATATGAAGTGGACAAGGTTCAATTGGAAGTAAACCGTTGCTTGATGAATTTCCTGTTCTGAAAATAAACAATATATAATTAATCTTATTTCTATTTCTACCTTCAACAACTTACTTTTTCTCTTGGGCAGATCGCACTTCCTTCTCTATCATAGCGTCAGCCGCTTTATTGACATTAGGATTATCCCTACCTGTTACAACAGAAATGAGTCTATAGTATATAAAAGAAAGTATTAACTCACCCAAATGAAGAAGTTTAGACAAATCGAGCCCCTCAGATTTCAATGAATCGAGTAAATGGTGACTGATAATGTCAGCAGTCGCGTGCACAAGCATAATACTTTTCCAATATCGTGTTACGACACCCTGTTGGTATTCGCTCCAGTATCGAATATGTAAATCCAGTTGCTTTCGTACTCCAACAATAGTTGTTTCATCGAAAAGTAACAAGTAGGCAGGAGCTTTAAGTACATCTTTAATGAGTTCACGAATAAAAAAAGAACCAGTTCCATGTGATACTACATACGAAAGCTTACGATCTTTCATCGCATAATCGGCAGCTACTTTACTGTCAGGAAACATTGACGCAAATAATTCAGGAATATTTTTTGATGAGTCATAGCTAAAGCCGAGTTGCGCTGCTGCCATGGCCCTATAACATTCAGCACGAGTAATCTTTTCTTCGTGAGTTAATGCTCGATCGGTACTGTTGTTAAGCACCATGAAGGATCGATTGTTTCTTATGAGTGACGTAAAAGAAGAAGTATAAGATTGATTTGAGGCAGTGTTGTTCCTTGTAGACGATAATGTTACGGTAGAAGCAACGAGCTAACACAATTCCAAAACGTCTTTTAAACATTGTAGATGTTTTGGGCGTTCAAAATGATATTTAACGTTAGTACAACCTCCGTTGGCATAGCTTAATTCGATATTGCATGCAGTACATATGAATATGAACGTATTCTTTTCTTTACCTTGACGTAGCCAAACGGAACATGGCTTGCCCGTCGAGTCAGCTTTTTGTAGCCACTTTGATGAAAAACTAGTGTATTTTGGCATCTAACGTCTTTAGTGTTTATTAATAAATGTTGAATATTTTGTACTGTTTTTACGAAACATGCATTCTCATCTACACTTTACGAAAAGGTTAATTGAATTACATATGTATGTAGTGAAAAACACTTAGCTTCATTGATCAACAGATTGAGCCGTCGTGTATTAAAATTATATTGGTCTGATCTCTTTGAAAAAATGTAACGAAAAGTATCGCCCTATTTCTTTTTGATTATTCATTATATTTATATTTCATTGTTATTCTCTTTCATATTCGTTCTTTCTTTTATTCCATGATCTATATTATAGGCTTCATGTCTATTGCTTGGTAATCCTCAAATAAGTATGTGCTCTATGAGTGAGATAGAGAATAAATCACTCGCAAAACTCAAAATAAACAACAATATTTTGATATCGGCACTACTTTCATCAAACTTGCTGCAGATCGATATTTTCTTACTAGAAAAGGCAATAGCAACAACTGATATTGTGGTGATAACAAAAATCATCTTGCAAAAGTACTAGAAGTCAAGCTATCATATAATTGAATTAGTTTGAGAATTTTTTCGTATTAGTATTAGACTCATAGTTTGCTTTCGCTCAGAGCAAAGCTACAATCAATTTTGTTCGTGCAGGTTCTGTTCAATCTTCACCTGATCTGATTTTATTTTTATTGTAGAACGGTACATTTGGATGAATTCCTTCTTTCCTACTTTTCCTTCTTTTCAATTAATTTCCTTCTTTTTTTAAAATTCCTTCTCAAAATGCTTCTTTTTATCAAACCCCGCTGCGGGGCCTGAATAATTATTATTTTCGAAAGTGTTTCCCAACCTCTGATGAACATGTCCTTATATACTTTTTAAATATTTCTTGATGATGATGATGATGATGATGATGTGCGTGCATATGAATATTCTGAACGACGAAGAACACATGTTTTCGAGTATTTGTCTACTTTTCTCAAAAAATATTGGAATCCTATGTTGAATCCGAAGTCACATCAATCGAAATATAGAGTTGAGGGTGTAAGCGTGGGTGTAGATGTGTGGACTGTGAATACAGATAACAAGAAAAGATAACTAACACCTTCACTTGGTCACAGCCATGACACTGTCACGGTGGTCACGCAAATGTCTTCTTTTCCAACTAGTTGAGCAGGCCAGTTTCCAACATCACGTAAAAAAGCAAATGATTGTGTTTTCTACAAATATTAAAACATCATATTCAGCAACAGCATAATTAGTTTGAGTTCTACGATAACCTAAAACACGTAAATCAAAATGATTACACTGTTCTTTTGCATTTTTGACTAGATGTTCAACCACTAGTTTATCACGGATATCTTCTTTGAAATGGACGATGAAAGGAGGGAAAGGATAGCGAGTTGTAGCAAAACGTCGTGCTTGATTAGTAATCACATGTTCGTTTTTATTCACCTGGCGAAATGTCACAGATCCAGTTGAAAAAAATTGACCTGTTTAACATGTAGGAAGATTATTTACAGGTTGTTGCTGATTCGAAATTTGGTCAGGTGTTCGTTGCTGGTTTGTTGATGAAGTTTGGACATTGTTCTGCGAATGATTGGAGTTGTGAAACGTGCGATTACGACTTGTAATAAATTTCTTATTATTACGGTGTGAGGATTGCCAGCCATCATTTTCTCTCGAAGACAATGTAGTTGTATTTGCTTCATTTTCGTTTTCATTCTCAAATGAATGCCCAACATCGTCACGAGTTCGTTTATTGATAGTTGGAGTTGAGTGAACATTAGTATCACATGGACTAGCGTGGGTATTTTCAGGAACTTTGATTTGTTCACTGCTATGAGTCATATTATATGTGCTTATTGATCTTGATAATTGAGCGGGTGGAAAATCATATAACGAAGGAGGAAAGTTTTGGTTTAATGGGAATAATTGACCATTCTACATAATAGCCATCGGCATTTGTTGTTGATCATGCAAATAGTGAGGAATATCTTTTCCTTGATAGAACAGTTGGCTTTGCATTTGGAGCGGTGGACTTTGGTTAGATACCAGGACAGATAGTGTAGACTCTTGAATCATAGGCGAATGTCTTCCCATGAGAATGAATCCTAGCCTAGGATCCGATGAGTTCCGATCGGCTCCTATTGGGATCCGACATTGATTCTCAACCAGGAATCGAACGGGATTTTGTCGGATGGTAGGGCCCATAGAATCCGATGGGATTCGGTATCGGATTGGTTCACCTGGGTTGAAAGAGAATTAGGATGACCATTGGAGGGGTAGGTGGTCATTTTGTCAGCTCAATCTTCACGCTGTAAGATGATCATACGGTAAGGAAGCAAAGAGAGAGCAAGAAAGACAAAAAAAGAGGAGACGTACAGGAAGAGAATAGACACCCACAGTAGATATAATTAGATGCGTCTAATCGCTAACGTGTTTGAAGAAGGAATGAACATGATATTTAATTTCAAGTGCATGCTATGCGCAAACTAATATTTCAAATTTTCTGGTAGGCATGAAATTTAATCTGGCTATATAGCTTGAGCTTGTCTATTACAGACTTCATTATTATAGGTTACAAGAATTGGAAACCAGATAGTTCACTTTTATTCTATTGCAGATAGATGGATGCATACATATATCGCTTGATACGTTTCATACTTTTGATCAGTGTTTTGATTCCATCATTTATTTGTTTTTTACTTGTTTTCTTGTTTTTACTGAAAACTCGAGAAATTAGTTATCGACGTCTTCATAATCATTTTATTTTTGCTCTTCTTTTCTGCAATTTTCTTCTTATTGGCACTGAATTACCAATAACTTTGGTTTTTTCTTATCTCGGTTTTGTTGAACCCCAAAATAACCAGTTTTGTTCATTTTGGGTGGCTTATAATTATAGCTTATATGCTGCTAGTTTGTTTCTTATGGCTTTTGGATCTGTGGAAAGATATTTTCTCATTTTTCATGAAAGATCTCTCAATAAGTGACGTTTTATTATGCATTATCCTCCAATCCTCTTATGCTTTATTTGGCCATTAACATTTTATAATCTGGTAGTCAATATCTATCCATATGAAAATGTCTATTATTAGGATTTCTATTTTTGTGGAGGTGCTTGTTATCAATTTGAAACGATTGTAGGTACTATAGATTATTTTATTAATATAGTTACTCCTACTACTCTTATAACATTGGCTAATATGATTCTTTTGGTACATGTTATACATCAAAAGCGAGCAATGAAATCAGCAAATACTTGGCAAAAGTATCGTTTAATGTATGTTCAACTTCCCACGGAGAAAAAAATTATACAAAACCGCGGTTTGCATGTGAGGAACCGCGGTGCATATCAAAGTGTCAAGGAATCTGTAAGGACATTCGAGATGTCGTGCCCCACAAATTCTGGCAAATTTTACTTATGTCGCATACATAATATAACAACTCTACAAAGACACTTTGTGGAAATGGAGCTCGGGAGAGTTCACTACACAGCCCCTCGAAGGGCGCCACATCTGAAACCTTCAAGGTACAGGTTATGGTCGACACACCTGCTCCTGTTGAGTCTAGTCTATCGAAAAAACCGCGGTTTGAAGCGGTTTTTGGATATAACGGTTGTCAGACCATTAAGGCGTTTCAAAAAAACCACCCAAAACCGCGTTTTTTTATCGGTTTTGAAAACCGCGGGAGTCAGACCATTTATGCGTTTCAAAAATACCGCCTGAAACCGCGGTTTTCAAAACCGCGAAAGTCAGACCATTTATGCGTATCTCTAAAACCGCTGAAAACCGCGGTTCTGGGCGGTGTTAGAGATACGCATAGATGGTCTGACTTTCGCTATTCGAAAATACCGGCTGAAACCGCGTTTTTTTTGACCGGTGATTAGCGCGGTTTTTCGAAAAAATTTTCTCCGTGGGTTGTATCCATTTCAATACTGTATTTTATTATTTGGATTCCGTTCGTCATTATATCACTCATTCGCCTATTTTATGATGCTTTTTTTTGCAAGACGTGGCAATGCTTATAATTAATTATTGCCTTTATATATGTCCACTTGCTTCACCATTCATTTGTCTTCTGGGTTTGCCCATAGTGCGAAGAAATTTACGAAATTTTTTGTATATGACAAGAATTACTCTTACGGTACAAACTCGTGTTATACCAGTAGAAACAATCAATACACAAACTGGACAGCAGCCCATTACAACACGTAGAAACTTTGACGAACATACTTTTTGATGGATGAATATTATTTAGAATTTAAACAGTAATAAAAGCATTTTAATTTGAATGGTATCCTCAATATTACTCTTGTTTTTTGTGTTTCCATTACAGACACTGTTATAGATGATGGGGGAAAGATTTTTGCACATGAATCGATATTGTGAACATAGCACAAAAAAGCGAAAGAAAAAACTCGACACACTAGCAATAATATCAATTATGATACAATGTAACCCTTGAGGAAATTTAATATGACAATAGCCAAAAGCTGCATTATAGTTGAGTTAAGGTAGCTTAACTTGTCGTTATCAATAACGTTTGTATATAAAACAACTTTGTTATTTAGTCGAGGGAGATAATTAAAAAAAACTTCAATAACAAAACCACCGATAGATTCTTCATCGGAAAAGAATCTCATGGAAAGCGAGCAAAAGAAAAATTAATTGGTTAGTTCTTCTTTTAGTCGTGCCACCATGTATCGACTACCGTATGTCTCAAAATGAAATAGTCCATGATTAGTTCGAATATTTGACCAGGGCGCATATGCGTCCAATTGCTCTGATTGATGAGCGTCATGAAACCTGACAAAATTAGCCGCGACGAACATCCCAGTTGCCCGTTCAAAAATGATTTACGAAAAATTATCTTTTGCAACAATGTAATTTTTTATTGATACAGCAAAAAACAAAATAAATCAAGAAAATTTTATAATTTTTTTGCAGATACATCTTCTGATTATTAGCAACTTGTATGAATTAGTTTAGTTTAAAAAATCAAATTTTAAATGAAAAAATAAAAAGCTGTTCACATAGAAAAGCAATTAGATTTTTCATATTATTGTTTATTGTTTACAGTTTATACAATCGATATCATATTAAACCCTTAATCTAAGAAGTTTCAGTATAATGCAGCCAATAAAATGATAGTTATTCCATTAATTAGTTCATTTTCTAAATCCATCTGATTATTCATCAGTTCTTATTAGAAAATGACAGACGAGATCTTGAGGGTGTGAGTGTGGGTAGGGATGAAGGGATTACTTCTACCAACACTCACACCCTGACCTATCCGTAAATGAATGTGTTTGATTTAAATTCATTAGGAGATAGTTTATGTAATGAACTAATTCGCAATATGACGTGAAATTATAGTACAACACAATCAATATTGATAAATGAATTAAAGTGATCTGTCAAAAAAATTGAAAAAGTAAAAGTTTTTACATTTTGTACTTAAGTTCACTTTGCGGTTATGTCTGATTCACAAGCAATGTCAAAGAGTATGTTTATTAAATAAAATGTGCAATGTAAGCACTATCTTTGATAAAAAGAACGTTTCAAATAAGTGGATAAAAAAGGAGAAATAAAGCACTGCGAGGGCAGTTCTTTATAACGTAAGAGTTAATCTGTTTGCATCCTATGTATAGATATATGCTTTGCCACTATTAAAATAAATATCAACACAATTTATAACTTTAAAAATAGTAAAGTACATTATGAAGAAATGTTTTATGCTAAAAATAATTCCATAAATATTTATACTCACAAGAAACCATTTGCTTAGAGTAGATTTTAACAAAAGAAAACGAATGAACAGATTTATAAGAATTAGCTTGAGCTGCCTAGTTCGACTTCGAATATAAATTGGCATCTGAATAACTATTCACAATTTGAAAATAAATGAAAAAAAACACGACCATTTAAAAACCATCCCAAAGCAAAAGCAAAAGATCATCTAACTGGCAGTGCCTTTTCAATTTAGGAATAGATTTAGATTTCCTTTTCATAAATTATAAAATTCATAAATTGCCTTGGTTGTGTGTGTGTGCGTTTGTAGACGCGTATGTCCGCCTTTCCTCACACCCACACCCTCTTTCACCCAATTCCGGAATTGAGCTGAATTCCGTGGAATTCCGGGAATCGGACAGTGTTCAGGTTTGACTTAGTTCCGAAATTAACGGAACTGATTCCGGCGGCGGAACTGGTTTCGGAATTTTCAACACTGCGGAGTAGGATGCCTGCTCGTTTACATATCTTGTAGTGTTTTCAATAGAGATTTTTATTTTTATTTTTTTTCATTCTGTTGATAAATGTTTTATCTCCATGTCTTAATTAAAAAGCATTTTAAGATAATCAAACAATTCGTTTCTGAAATTCTTATCATGTACGTCACTGTTCTATCATCAGTTTTTAAAAACAACAAATTGAACGCATTAGAAAGATGCAGAGCAAAATATAGATGTCTGAGTATTTTATAAAATCCCACTGGAGTACTCAGGAAATGTATGACGAGTACTCATGAGTTCTCGTGGTATTTTCCAGCGTGAGTACTTTTTCAGTACGCGCTGGATGAGTACATTCACTACTGAATGCACACAATTTTTTTTATGTAAGATATCGAATGTTCTAGTCATTTAAGTTATTACCTAATGCCAAATAATTCGAAAGGCAGGTAGTCAAGTTTTTTTTACCATACAGCAACTTTGCTTCTGACAGGTAATACTTTGCTAAATTATTTTAATTTAAATGAAAATATTAAAATAAAACGATCTTATCACAATTTCAAAATTGAATTCCACCCTAGTGAAAATACTCATCAAGAGAGAGCGACCTGCCAGCATGAGTACACAAACGACTCGTTGGAGTACTCGTGAAATTCTCTTTGTATCTTTAATGTTCGTGTACTAAAGTGAGTACCCACATAAGTTAACTTTCTGAAATTCACTCGTATACGATAGTCTGATTACTCAAAGTCGTACTCGATTCTGTGTTTCGATAAAACACCAATGTATTGACATGTAAAAAGTAAAATAACATTGTTTAAAAACAAAAAGTAATGAAATTAATTAAAAAATATTAACGAAATATTTTGTGGATATATTGATTCCATTCTTCATGTTTAGTAGATGATTCATTTTTGTTTATATAA